CACTATATCCCGTGCGTCATAACTCGAAACTTACACTAAGCAGACAACCTTTGGAATCTTCCAGCGCCACTTGCCCCGGACACGCATATCCCACCCTTTCGATATCTGAAATCAATCATCGTCTCGAGTGCTTGTCTGGTATCAAAAGAACCAAAATCATGTCGTTCAACACAGCAGCACCGCCAGAGACCATGGAGTACCGGTCACACCCTCAGCATGACTCAACCGCAAACAACAGCGCCGAGGTCGACGAGAACGAGAAGCCAGTCTTCTTTTTCGACATTGACAACTGCCTCTACCCCAAGAGTCTTGATATTCACCGGATGATGGCTGAGCTGATCGATCAATTCTTCCAGAACCACCTCAGCCTGTCTCAAGAAGACGCCAATGAACTCCACTACCGCTATTACCGCGAATATGGTCTTGCGATCGAAGGGCTCGTCCGACACCACAAAGTCAATGCGCTGGAGTACAACAGCAAAGTAGATGACGCGTTACCACTGGAAGATGTCATCAAGCCCAACCCCGAACTGCGCAAGCTGATCGAGGACATCGACACAAGCAAGTGCCGCTTATGGCTCTTCACTAATGCGTACATCACCCATGGCAAGCGCGTCGTCAAGCTTCTGCAGATTGACGATCTGTTCGAGGGTATCACTTTCTGCGACTATGGCTCGGACAAGTTCTACTGCAAACCGCACGTGGAGATGTACGACAAGGCGATGGCGGAGGCTGGCATCAAGTCGAACGAGAAGTGCTACTTCGTTGGTGAGTGCTCATAACATCTCGTATTATTGTAGCCTACTAATACAATGATACAGATGACTCTTACATCAACTGCAAGGCAGCAGAGGGACGGGGATGGAAGACGGCGCATCTGCTTGACGAGAAAGATCCTGCACCTGCTCAGCCGGCCAGCAAGTACCAAATCAGGAGCTTGCAGGAGCTACGGAAGATCTTCCCAGAGGTGTTCAAAAGTTCGTGAGAAGATGCATGGATCCATATGATGGGAATAAGCGATAGACTGGAGTTTGCACGGGCACACCGTGCGTACTTCCAGAACTCTACGACAATGATGATTACGACTAGACGATAGACTAGATTCGAAGAAAGATAGAAGGTCAGTAAATCTAGACGATTTGTTTGGTTTGATGAGAGTAAGGCCTTGCGGTTACCATCGCTCGGTATCTTATCGTTCGCCGAGGACCAGTGCACGTCTCCCTCTTGCGTACCATAGCACCACATCTAGGCAGCAACAACCCTCCAACTCTTCCACTATAAAAAAAACCCCTTCAAATCCTCTACAGAAATAATCAATGAAGACACCAAAGCAATACCAGACCATGTCATCAACCACCCCAACGTCCTCCACCCCACCCGCCCCGCAGTCCTCCGCACTACCCCCAACCCACCCCTTCAACACAACCACCACCAACGCAACCACCCTCGCCGACCCAACTACCCAACTCCCACTCGTCACCGACGCCGTAACTCCAACGCGCAAACCTCTTCTCCGCCTCGAACTCCGCGACCTCTCCTCAAATGGCACCCGCGCCTTCCTACGCCTCACACACGCGTCGCACGCGCTCGAACACGCCGTCGCCACAGTCCTCACACACCTTTACAGCGAGCTCCCCAAAACATGCATACCAGGCACGCGTTCCGTAACGCTAGTCCTCCGCGAAATGGACGGAGTCGCATACACAACAGGTCTCGATCTCGACGACGACCACAAGGAAATCCACCTAAACACGTCTTACATCTCGCACGTGCCCGAGTCGCGGCAGAAGGAAGAGATATTAGGTGTACTCGTGCATGAAATGGTGCATTGTTGGCAGCATAGTGGGTTTGGGAGTGCGCCGACGGGGTTAACAGAAGGAGTCGCGGATTGGGTGAGGTTGAAGGCGGGGTTTGCGCCGCCGCATTGGAAGAGGCATGGGGATTGTGAGTGGGATGCTGGGTATGAGCGGACGGGGTACTTTTTGGAGTGGTTGGAGAAGGAGCATGGGGAGGATGTTGTTAGGAGGTTGAATGAGGGGATGAGGGAGAGGAAGTATGATGGGGAGGTGTTGTGGAAGGGGTGCTGTGGGAAGGGGGTTGAGGAGTTGTGGGAGGAGTATAAGAAGAGTTTGGAGAGTGATGAGTAGATCTGGGTAGTTGTAAGAGTTGTTAGGTATGTGGCTTAGGCGTGGACCTTCACACATAGAGGTTCGGAGGATAGAAAGACGCGCGCTACATCATGGACGAATTTACATATCGCCAGTACATCATCGCTACAGCATCTACCGAACAGTCTTGATCTCCCATCTACCTCCGCTTTCTGGCAGGAGCAGCGTTTCTAGCAGGAGCAGGCTTCCTAGCTGGAGCAGCATTCCTTGCACCTGTAGGCCTGGACGCGGCCGCTGGTTTCGGAGCACTCTTCGCAGCGTTCCTCTTCTCCTGCCATTTTTTATAGTCTTCAGCAAGTTCTTCCTTCAACGCGGCGTCCTTCTCCTTCTCTGCCTTTGCAGCTTTCTCTTTCCTTTGCTGCTCAGCTTTAGTCCTCTCTTGTTCTGCTTTCCGACGAGCTGCGTCGGCTGCTGCATGCTTCTCCTTCTCCTTCTTCTTCTCTAGATTAGCCTTCTCGCTTTGTGTTCCTTTGGCTTTTCTTTGTTCTTCCTTTCGAAGTGCTGCCTCGAAGTCGTCGTCTTCCTCCTTCTTGCGCTTCTCTTCCTTTTCCTTCTTATCTTTCTGTTCCTTTGCGGCTCGACCTTTCTCTTGGTCTGCCATATGTTGAGCTCTAGAAAACTCTTCATCCTCTTTTTTCTTGCGTTTCTTTTCTTCTTCCTTTTCTTTGTGCTGTTTCTTTAAAGCTTCGACCTTCTCGTCCTCCTCAGCTTTAAGCTTCTTCTTCTCTTCCTTCTGGATTGCTGCTAGTCTATCTTTCTCTGCCTTTACAGCTATGTCTTTCTCTTTCTTCTGGGCTTTAAGCTCCTCTTCTTCTGCTTTTAGCTTCGCCTGCTCTCCCTTCCGACGCTCTGCTTGAGCGCGGGCGTCCTCCTTCTTCCTGCGTTTCTCTTCCTCTTCCTCTGCCTTCCGTTGTTTCTTGGCGGCTTCATCCTGCGCTTTCTTTTCGTATTTAACTAGACTTTGCTCTTGTTTCGGCTGATCATGGCCTTTCTTGCCAAATAAGACCAGACTTTGCTCTTGTTTCGGCTGATCATGCTCTCTCTTTCCAAACTTGACCAAACTCCGCTCTTGTTTCGGCTGCTCAATCATCAATCGGGCTTCTATTCTCTTCTGACGTTTCTCTTCCTTTTCTTGGTCCCTTCGTGCGGCGGCTCCTTGTTTGGCGGTGGCCAGTGTTGTGGGCGTCTGTTCTGTTGCAGCTTTATTAGAGGCTGTGCGCAGTTCCTTCGCTGCAGCTTGCGTGATGAGCTTCCGTTCCTTCGCTTCGGCTTGCATTATCAGCTTCTGTCCCTTTGCGGCTTCTTTGGCTGCTGTCTTCAGCCTCCGTTGCTCCGCCTTGTCGGCCGATTTGGTATCGGTGGCCTCGTGTTTCGCACTCGATCTGAACAAGCCAATGTGTCGATGTTCAGAGCTCTGTGTATGGCTTTCATGCGAATGGAATATACTCGCGCTAGATTTGTGATCCAACTTCTGCTCCTTCTCGTGTGGCTTGTTGTCGATTGCGAGTTGCTTAGCTTCAGGCTTCTTGTCCTTGGCCGCTTCTTTGGTTGCGAGCTTCAGTCTTTGCTTCTCTGCTTCGGCGGCTTTCTTGGCATCAGAGGACTCAGGCCTTATGAGAGACTTCAGTTTCAACTTCTCCTCCTTGTCTTGGGCCTTCTTCTCAGATGCGACTCGTTTAGCTTCGAGCTTCTTCCGGGCCTCTTCCGCTTTTTGAGCATCTTTCTCAGCTTTCGCAGCACTTGGCTCCCCAGACTTATCGGCATGCTTGTTGGTAAATGGAACAACTTCCTTACCAACCTTCTCACCCCCCTTCTTTTCGCTCTTCTCATCAGCTTTCTCAGCCTTGTGCACTATTTCCAGTTTCGATGCTGCTTCCTTCGCTTCGGCTTTCTTCTTTGCATCCGCATCCTTCTTCTCATCCTTAGCCTTCTTGTTGGCGACTTTGGAGTCTGCGTCGGTACTGTCCGACTTCGCTCCACCGTTCTTACTCTCCTTAAGTTCTGCGTCGTTATGTTCAGCATCCTTGTGTTCAGAACCCTTGTTTTCAGAATCCTTATGTTCAGCGTCCTTGTGCTCGGCGTCTTTTTCTTTCTTAGCCTTTCTTAGGGCTCTCTTCTCCTTGATGATATGTTTATTAGAGGGCCCTTTCTCGGTCTTGGCGTTCGTAACATGTTCGTTGTTGATCGTTCGGTTGGTAATCGTCTGATTGGTGATTGTCTGGTTGTTGACCGTCTTGTTGGTAATCGTGTGGTTGTCAATCTTCTGATTAGTCTTTGCGCTGTCTTCTGTGCTCTGCTTTCCCTTGGCTGGACCATCTGCGCCCTTTTGATCTTTAGTCGTATTGTCATGTTTGGTACCCGAGGCAGCAGCTTCTTTCTGGGCGTTAGCTTCTTTCTTCGCGGCTTTCTTGTCTTGATTCGCTTTCTTCTTCGCCGCCCGCGCTTCTTTTATCTCAGCCTCCGTACGCGCAGGTTGTTTAGCAGCATATTTTTGTGTGTCGACTGTGCCTTCCTTAACCGGTTCACCTGCGTTCTCTTGTTGAGAATTGGCGTCATTCCCCGCAGCCTTGTTCAACTTCTTTGCCTCTTTCCTGTCCTTTCTTCCCTGCAAGACCAACTCTCGATCCATCACAGGTTTTTGCTTGGCACCGTTCGCATTCGCGCCGTTTCCGTTGTTGATGCCTTTGCCTTGAGCGTTGGGGCTATTAGGGCTCTGCGCAGCCTCCAAATTTGCCTCCTGCGCTTCTCGTCCCGCCTGTGCGTGTTGCCTTGGTCCTGGTACGCCGTGTATACCCAGGTGTAGTTCATCACCACGTCCATGACTGGCGTGATCTATGTGATTCTCGCCTTGGTGACCACGATCCCTAGGATCGCCGCGCTGCATATATGGGTGTCTTTCTTGACGTAGTCCGTCACCATGTCCTTCTTCGGCGTGCTCCGGATGATTTCCGCCTGGGTGACCATAACCTCTAGGATCGCCATGTCGTGTATCTGGGTATCTTTCCTGTTGATGGCCATGGTTAATGTCCCAATGGCGACCGTCTTGTCGACCCTGTTGTCCTTGTCTCGCATGATCTTGATGATTTCCGCCCGGATGGTCATGACCTCTAGAATCGCCATGTCGCGTATCTGGGTATCTTCCCTGTTGGTGGCCATGGTTAACGTCCCAATGGCGACCGTCTCGTTGACCCTGTTGTCCAGGTTGTCTTGCTTGATCTTGATGATTTCCTCTTGCGTGATTAGGACCTCTAGGGTCACCATGCTGCGCATCTGGGTGTCTACCTTGTCGGTGGCCATGATTTTCGTCCGAGTGACTGCCATGTTGTTGATCATGGTGTCCTTGGGCCTCATTATGTCCTCCAGCTGCCGTGTTCCCATCGGGTGGCGGTCTCGCCATAGCATTACCCGCCTCCATCCGTCGCTCGTCCTCCTCTTCCTGCATACGCTGCCTCTCCTCTTGTTGATGAGTCTTCTTTTCCTGATCAGCTGCTTTCTTGTGCGCTCGCTCTTCGTCTTCACTCTCCTTTCTCAATCTTTTCTCCTCAGCTTCAGTGCCTCGTCGAGCCTTTTTATCTTCTAGTTCGGCCTGGCGTCTCTGGACCTCCATTTCCCGCTCGGCACGCTTTGCTTCTTGTTCCATGGCATGTTCTTCCATACGATGGTTAGCTTCAGCAGCCGTGGCCTCCATCGTGCCGCGCTTCTCAGCTAAATGCATCTGCCTCTGGGCTTCTCGCTCCGCCTTTCTGGCCTCTTGTGTAACGGATCGTTCCTCAATACGTTGAGATGCTTCCTCTGCTCTGAGCTCAGCTTGCTCTTGTGCGCGTTGAGTCTTTTCGGCCGCATCGAGTTCCCTTTGAGTCTTGCGGGCTTCTCTATCGATCTCCTGTTGCTGTTGGCGCTGAACGGCATCCTCGGCTTTACGTTCCCGCATTTCCTCTGCCCGTGTCCTTTTCATCTCTATATCATTCGCCCGCTTAGCCTTCTGGGCTTCACGATCCATCTCGCGCTGTTCTTTTCGCCGTTCATCGTCCTCGGCCTTTCGTTCGCGTTTGGCCTCCTGATCTTCCACTCGACGAGTGTCACGTTCCTCTCGATCAGCCTCTTTCTGCTCATTCTTTCGCTCTTTCTCTTCAGCCTTCTTTTCATCCTTTCGATCCTTCTCTTGTGCTTTCTTCTCATCCTTTGCTGCTTTCTCCTCCGCCTTCTTCGCATCTTTCTCTTGCTTTGCGAACTGGCGGGCTTCGTCTGCTGCTTGCTTCCGAGCAGCTTTATCTGCAACTTCCTGGGCTTTTTGTTGTTCTCGCAACTGTTGCTGTTGGTACTGTGCCTGCTGTTGTGCCTGGTATTCTTCATCGTCTTGGGCACTTTGCTGTTCTTGCCACTGTTGCTGCTGTTGAAAGGCCCGTTGCTGTGCCTCGGCCTTTGCAGCTTCCTGATCAGCCCAATCCGCATCTTCCCTGGCGGCGAGTTCATCATCCGCATACTTCTGCTGCGCCCGTTGCATCTGAAGTGCTTGTTGACGCTGTTCGTATTCGAACTTTCTCCGAGCAGTCTCGTTGGCCGCAGCTACTGCAGCTTCTTGCTGTGCTGCGAGCTCGTCTTCTTCCTCTTCCTCTTCCTGCGCTTGCTGCTGCGCTAGCTGTCTCTGATGCATGGCAGCTTGCATATTCTCTTGGCGTTTCCTGTCAATTTCTTGTCTTTGGGCTTGGATCTGTTGTCGCTGCGCTTGACAATGCGCTGCTTCCGCCGCGGCTTCAGCCGCTTCCTGTTCTTGCGCCATTCGCTCGTCTGAAGCCTTCTTTGCCAGTGCAGCTCTGATTTGCTCTTGACGTTGTCGCTCCATTACCTGATCCTGAGAAGGCATCTGCATTTGACGTCCTGCTGACTCGTATGACTGTCCTTGGGAAATCGGTCCCCGCGCTAGATCGTCATAGTCGTCGGTGCCTTCTTCCTCCCCTTCTTCTTCATATTCGTCTTCCGCTTCCTCCTCTTGTATCGAACGCTGGTAGGGCTGCTGCCATAACGGCAGGCTTGTTCGGGAGGGTTGTGCAGGTTGCGGAGGAAACGGAGCAACGTCTTGGAAGCGCTGGTGTTGGATAGGGATATCCTGACGCTGATCTGCTTGTCGCAATTCAGAAGGCGTATATGAATGCACTGGAACTTTTGGACTAGAAGTTTGGCGTTGCTGTGGAGGCATTGCCCGCGGATCATGGTCATTCGGTCCTGGCCTCAGTGCTTCTGGAACCACGGAAGCTTGTTGAGGGTAGCCAACAGGCGGTATCTGAACATTGCTGGCTGACTTATGATGTGGCAGCCCGCCGTCTTCATGTTCGCTGTCGCTCTCAGATGTCTCATCGTCTGAAGTTCGCTCGTAGTCACTGCCGTCAACGTCGCTGTCTTCCAAGTGCTCATCTTCGTCGTCCCCTGTACCTTCAACCTTGCTATCAAACTCCTCTTCCACGTCACTATCGTCTTCTACTTTGTCTCTAGTATCTTCATCGCTGACTTCGCTATGATATGACTCATCGGTGTCGTAGTCATCAGTGGGAAGTCCTTGATTGCGTGGATCAATAGCGACATGAACAGCGATGGCTGGTTGTGCGATCGCCATGATATATGATGTCGTTGGTATGTAACTCGATTGGTTGGACTGGGAAGTGTGTAAGATCAGGCCTGCCTGTATGATGTGATAAGTTGGTGTCTATTTGGGGTAAATATAGAGTTAAAAGAATGGCCTCAGAACACTGGCTACGTCTAGGACTTTATATCTGACATAGGTGATATTCCAAAACAAGATTGTGAAGCTTTCGTTGAATGTGCGGTATTGATGTCGAACTCGGGTGCGTGAAGAGGCTCAGACCATCACCAGATCAGCACCTGGAAGCCTGCGTTGGTCATATCCTGGTGTGTAATCTTGAAGTCTGAGAACTGTGACTGACCAGTTCTTCTGAATTCTTTTCAAGAGCACTTCAATATCTATATTCTAACTGAATTCCTATTCGAGCAACAAGCATAATGACCCCACGATCAAACTTTCAAGTAAAAAGCATCGCGCGTGCTCGTTGTGATATAGCAGTTCTTCAAAAGTTAGAGAGTGAAGTTTAGCCTTCCAGTGAATTGTTTATTACAAGCACGCTGACCATAAATTTAGCTCTCTGGGAGTGTGCAGACATAACCAGACTTAACCACTGCGCTTACACCCATCGCCTAGGATTAAACCAAACAGCCGGGAACTGCACAGCGCTAGAAGCTCTACCAAATCCGAAATTCCCATCTTTACCACCAAATCAACTTCGCAGAGGCCACCTGATTACCAAACCAACAAGCGGCCGCCCACTACTTCATCACACCTCGCCGCGACTAACCATGTGCATCGGCGTCAACAGCGAAGTCTGCCCCGACTGCGGCAACAACGGCAAAGCCCACGACCCCTACCTCCAGGGCGGTACAAAATGGATCCGATGTCCAGCATTCATAAACTCAATAACAGAAAAGGAACCTTCAAGGCCTAAATGCGAATCCATCATGTGCGATCAAATTGGAAAGAAAGGGGACTGTGCAGTCTGTAAATCACGGAAGACATTTGAACAGAGGAAGGCAGAAGGGAAAATGACGCCGAACGAACTGAGACTGGAAAGAATGAGGCTGGCGAAGGAGAGATTTGACAAGGATGTGAAGACCAAGAGGAAGAAATTGTGGGGAGATCAATAGGGCGGATTTGATGATGGAGATACTGGTGCTATTTGAATGGCGGAGGTGCTACATGTGTACTGTGATATTGCAATGTGATTTAGCAGTTTTTGAGCTTAGAAGTGTGAATTTCAATGTATCTGTAAGATATAAATCGCTCTCGAGTCCTCGAAACATCTACTTCCTCAAATATACATAACTATCGATCAAGAAAGCACTACACTAAACCCGCCTAATTACATCGATTTGATATCGACCACGTGTCTAGCCACCCTACTTCCAACAAGCTCAACACTACCAAAGCCGCGTGTCTACCAAGCCCACGAACCAGCAGATCTACCCACAGCAACTCGAACATGTGTACAGGCATCCGCGTCCAAACCTGTCCCGATTGCAGGCAATGTGGGCCAGACCACGCACCGTACCTCCAAGAACATGTACAAATAATTCCATGTGCAGCGTCTAGCGTACCAATATCGGGGATAACTCGCGTCGCCACCAAATGTCCCGGAATGATCTTCAGAGACGACCACGCGCTGTCGCGGGGGGCTTGTGCGGACTGTTTGTTGAAGGCACACCAGATGGCCGTGAGAGAGGCCGAATATAAGCAGCAGCAACATGGGAGAAGTGAAGCGAAGAAAGCTCTCAAGGCGGCCGAATACAAGCAGCAGCAGAACCAGAAGAGTGAAGCGAAGAAAAATCTCAAGGCGGCTAAGAGTGCGTGGAAGGCTACTGATCCAACTAAGGCATCTACCAAGAAGATAGCTAAGGATACTGCTAAGAAGACTCCGAAGAAGACCCGGGGCGCCGTGGAGAAGAAGACCCCGAAGAGGACGACTAAGGATATGACTGATCAGGCTGCTGCGGAGGTGTTGGTGAACATGTCTAATATTCAGCATCAGAAATAGGCTGCTTGACCTAGTGCTGAGGGCGGAACCGCAGGATAGGAGGCTCGTGATCGGTAGATGCGGAAGTCTACATGGGAATGTGTCTGATCACTTTACATTTGTATTAGTTCAAGGTTGAGAATCTGGGTTAGCGATCAATGAGAAATTTAGTAACACTCTCTGTACGAATTGATGAACAACGATTGCAAACCCATTTACCCATCAACTTCCCACGGATCTACCTCCACACCCGCAATCCGCTCGAACCGTCTCCTCTGTTTACCCTCCATCGTTGTCCCGGTGAACAACAGCTACGAGGGCCGCGCCCTGAACTCGAAGGCGCAACCCACTTAGACCTCTTCTGCACCGACCACGGATCTACATCCACACCCGCACCCATAATCCGCTCGAACCGTCTCCTCTCCTCTATATATACCTCGTTCTTCCAACTTGTCTCCCAAGCCTTGCGCAAATATGCTCTCGTTTCCTTGATAAATTGCTCCCGGGTCTGACGTCTTGGGAATTTTCTTACATTAACATCCACACCCACATCCGCATTTTCCAGGATGATGCGTCCAGCCGACGCGAGTAGGTAGTATGACTCCTGGCACGGGAAACAGCAGGGTCGGTATGTGAAAGTGGGAAACCAGTTAACTCCAAGTTCTCTGCCGGGTTTGTGGAATTCGCCTTGCACAATGTATTGGAGGACGTGGAACACATCTGCGTAGATGGTAGATAGCTCCTCAAATAGCTCCTCCGAACTTCTTCGACGGGCATTTTCGGAAGAAGAGAGCTGATTGAGCTGGGTAAGTAGGCAGCGGGCGATGGTGATGTGGAAGTGATAGGAGTATTCTTTTACTTCGTCCCAAACCGCGCGAATATATGGAGGAAGACGTTGTTCATCGAAACGCGTCTGGATATTGGACAGACGGTCGATTACGCTGACACCTTTTGTGCAGGCGGCTACGCAAGCCAAGTCATTCTTGGCATGCTCAGCGTCATCAGCGCGTTCTCTGTGTATCGAAAGCTCAGTGAGGAGAACATGAGCATCGGGCCAGTATGGTTGTTTGACGATTTGCATCATGTCTTGCAGAAGATCCTCATGGGTGCAGCCTTCAATCGTGAGACGGCGGCAGCCACGGATGCCATCTCGTATAGGTTGTAATAGCTGTTCTTGAATACGCCGTGAAGGGACCTCGCAATTCCCTTCATCACTGTTCGGACCTGCGTTCAGTATGACGCGTAACTCCACCCCCCAATCTGGTACTTTCCCGTGGCCATGGTACATCCTTTCAGTCTCCAATCTCTTGCAGAACTCGCTCAGGTCCGACAACAGCATCACTATCCTGGTTGTCAAGGAGCGAGAGGAGCGAGAGGATCCAAGAAACCGGCCGAGCTGAAAGACGAGGTCCATCTCACAATACGGGAAGACCTTTGGCTCTTCTTCGCTCAAACTGGGGTGTGGCTCTGGTATGCAGCCACCAGTGTGGCTGATGGAAAAGATGTGGATCGGTTGGCCGGGCCCGTGGAACCACTCTTGTATATTGGCATTCTGAACCTCGACGCGCACGAAAGTGTTGCTGTTTGACAGGAAGGGCTTTGCTTCACCATAGATCTGCTTGTTTGCGAGGAGTATATTAATGCCAAGACGTCGCCGCTTTACTATGGGTGCCCCCGCATGCAGGTTTGAGTATTCGTGGATAGTATAGGGAGCTGTTCGACAGCTATCGAAGCCTAGCGCAAATTCGTAGACATTGTCTCGTAGCTCGCGTGGTAGATCAAGAAGGCAGAACGGCTGTTTGGAGAGGTGAGTGTTCATGATGCTTGGCAGGAATTGTGGTGTAGGAAGGTAGGAGCGTTCAAGGCGCTGAAGTTTGCTTGTAGACGGCTGACAGGAGCGGCTCGCTTCCACTGCATGTGTCTAGCGCATCGAGACAGAGTCATTCCACTTAGCTCAGACTGCTGCCTGGGCTTACGCAATCGCCAACAACGATAAGGCGTAAAAGTCGTAAAGTATTATAGTATTGACAAGGGCGTTACGCAAACTCGTGGCATTCGCCTCTCGGACCGAATCCAGATAATACGCCAATAGAATAACCGCACTGAAGCGCTACAATACATGCCTAGGCAAGCAAGTTTATAACCGTCCCCTCCTGATACCCCTCAACGCCAGAATGTCCGCTCGCCGGCATGACCATCAGTGTGCGTCGCAAAGTCCAGATCCATCGTTGGCCGAATCAACGGCTTGTGTCAATCGGTGACAATTCTTACTCAACGCCCTCGACTTTCCTCAGAAATTCCCTGACACGGCCAACCTCCACACCCTCGCCTTCTTCGCTGTCCAGAGCCGCCACCAGGCCTTCGAGACATTCTTCAATCCTGTTCTCTTCTACCTTTGTGCATAGACTGACGACCTTGCGGTACATCATCTCCAGTTGCCCGTCCTTCTCTTTCAGCATCTTACTCCGTTTGAGTAGTGCACCGTTCGCATTCGTGTAGGTGTGTAGTCGTTGTTGGAGGACGGAGGCGGCGGGGAGTTGCTGGACTGCATAGGCCTGATATTGTGGCTGATGCGATACCTGTTTGAGCGTTGCAGGGTCCAGTGGAATGGTTGTCGACAGATAGGGGGCTCCATCTGATGCGCGGCAATCCAGATGGTCGCCTGCTTGCCGGAGCTCGTAAGGCAAGTCGTCTTCCTTGATGAGCATGCCTGCACCTTCCGCATCGGCGTATCCTATCCTCTTCTTCTCGTGCAAATCGATGTCCCCTGCATTGACGGAGAGCATATGCCGTTGCGGCTCGAGCCAACGCTTCAGATTCGATATCCGCTTAGCGCGATCTTGTCGTAAACGTAACCGAGCACGTAGTGACTCTAGCCTTTGTTGCTCCTGCTTCTGTTGAGTAGATAGTTGGGTGATCAGCTCATTTGTTTGGTCTATGGTGTCTTGTTTCAGACGCGCTTCTTGCGTGAACTGCATTGAAGCAGACTGGAGGATACCATTCATCACTGTAACCATATTAGCGGATTTCTTGTAATAGATACGAATTCCAACTTACAGGGTTGTATCTCTCGGCTAGTCTCTTCGACCTTGCTCAAGGGCGCCTTGCCCTTGCTGGGGCTGTTTGCGGCGATTATGACTTCGCCGTCGCCGAGATCGCTGCCAACACCAAAGTCGATCGGTCTCGTTCCTTTGTGATTGGGTATGGTCGGGTCCGCCTGAACTTCCATGAGCTGAGAGATGATGTTGCGATTGCCTATCCTCGCCGCTAGGTTAAGTGCTGTATTGCCGGCTTTGTCGCGTGCGTTGACCATCTCTTGCATAAACCTCATCAATCCTATTGGTTTTGGGTAGTTGCTGGTGTCGTGGAAAGAAGGCACCTGGTTGGCGCCAATGTTGCTGCGTACGAGATACTCCAGAAGTGCCTCGAGGTAGTACTTGCTGGAGGCCGCGCGCCCTTTTATGGCACAGGTCACCGCGATGTGATGCAGTATCGTCCGTCCCTGCGAGTCTCGGAGTTCGATAAGTGGCGCCAAGATCTCGAGCGTCTCTGGGAAGCAGCTGTGGTCCAGGCTGTTGTTGACGGAGACTGCACTCATGAGTGGTGTTTGACCTGAGGCATTTCCTCTGAACATGTTGGCTCCTTTGGAAACTAACAGCCTCATCAACGACACTCGGGCCAGTGTCGCGGCCCAATGTAGAGCTGTATTTGAGGTGTTGTCAATTGGCATGTCCAGATCTGCGCCAGAGAGGTGAAGTATGGCTGGATGGTTCGTGAAGTCTGTCCTAGTCTGATCCGCGAATAGATCCGTAAGCATGGCCTGCTTCTCTTCGTTGTGCTTGGTGTCGGGGTGCGGTAGAGGTGGCAGGGCTGAGGGAACCTCGCCATCGGGAAGTGCAATGCGCTGTCCTGTCTGATGTTGGTAGAAGCTCTCACTTGGTTCTGTCGGCGAGCCAAGATCGCGCATAGACATGTCTGCGCCGTTGGGTTGTGAGTAGGATTCATCTTGGGATGTTCGCATGCGCTTCCTTGGCGGCTCTTGCGGGTCTTCAAGGCCTGTGCCATAGGCCGAGTCGGTGTGTCCGTTCTGCCCGCTGAAACTACGCTCCGATGCTACGCTTTGCTGGCTGCTGGTGCGGAACGATTCTTGGCTGGCGAGGGGTCCTTGTGACGGCCGTGCGATGCTTCTCCGGCCCTGCGAGGAGGAAGCGGGTCGCGGTGCGGGTGAGTTGAGTCGCGCGACCTTGTTCATGGCGGCAAGTGCGCTGGTGGCTGTCGAGGAGATGTTGCTGAAAAAGGTACCGCCGACACTCTGGCTAGTAGTGCGGCCGTCCATGCTCTGGGTGTAGAAGCGCTTCCTGTTTGCTGCCATGGCCTGCTCTTTGGTGGGTGTCTCGATGCCCTGGCCCTGTCCCTGGTTGCCATCGACGCTGACATCGTAGTCCAGCAGCGGGCGCAAGACATCCTCGACACCGTACTGGCGACAAAACTCTCTTCCGCGGCGGTAGCAGATCCACGTGCCCTGGTACTTGCCGTAGCCGCCCTGGACCTTTTCGTGTTCGCCGTTCAGGATCTCCTTCTCGAGGACCTTGGTGCGCTTTCCTTTGTCAACGCCAGCCACCTTGAGGATCTGGGTGGCATTGAGCCAGCCGTCAGAGCGTCGGCGCATAACAGCGACCCGATTGACTTCCATTTCGTAGACAGAGACGCCTGAGTAAACAGCCTAGATTGTCAGCGACTTGGTGCGACTGCGCAAATGCGGTGGTGGTGGTGCCTACGGTGTATATCTGGGGCTTCTCCATGGCGTGCTGCTGGTAGCCGTTCATGTCGGAAAAGGACCGGTTGAAGCCAGCGGGCGCGGCCATGAGTCCCTGGCTGTGGGGAGAGTTGGCGTACATGGCCGACTGGGGCGGCGAACCTGCGGGAAAGGATAGCGACGTGCGCGCGACTTGCATTATGTCAGCGCAGTGCTGGCGGGCGTGGTGATGGTATGGTGACTGTACGGGTCAAACGATCATGGGGGCAGGCGCGGACAGAGGCTGGGCGCAGCGTGGGCAGGTGCAGTCGGGGTGCGCAGGCGTGGGCCGTAAGCGGAAGCCTCGGTGAAGGGTGCGATGGGCGATAGGCGATATGCGCCGTATCAGGACTCGATGTTGATATGCGGGTGGGCGGGGGGTGAATGTGCCGTCGCTCGTGGAGACTCTAGAGGAGTGGAGATTCCAGAGGTCGCGTCTACGCGTCGCGGCCAATCAGCCGCCGCCCGAGTTTCCTTGCCCAGAGCACGGCCACGACCCGTCTGCTACCTTCCGGCTCGTCTCCCGCATGCCTACGCCATTTCAGCAGAGCGCGTCACGTCTGCGGCCAGTTCATCTGCTGCGTGCCCTGCTGCGTGAGGCTTCGTACCTGCCCGATGCGACAGCCCGCACCTACTTCCGCCGCTACATCGTCAGCCGATTCAAGGCGTATCAGCCCAAGCAAAATGCGACGGCTTCCTTCGACGTCCAGGCCGTGGAGAAGTACAGGCACAGGAGCTTCAAGAGGCGGCAGATAGCCATTATCAATGAGCGCACACGGCCGCTACTCAGGAAGGGGCAGAAGGGCCTGAACTTCTTGCGCCGGGCCAACCTGGGCGAGATACCATGTCTGCAGAAGGTCCTGTTCTTCGCCTACGGGCGCATGGGAAGGAGGAAGTACATCTTGCTAGAGAGATTGCTGACGCCAGACCACATCATGGACGGCGGTGCACTCGCAACGCCCATCGAGCCAGGGCAGGCACCGCTGCAGAAGCTCTATTACAGCAACAAGCGCTATCTGCAGTATTTCGATGCGCCCAAAGCCGCCTCCAAGACCGAGTATACCATCAACATCTCTAGCCGCTACTCCCGATTGCGCGCCGTCCTCAAGTCGCAGTGCCAGAAGGGCATCTCCATACACCGAGGGATCAAGCGTCCAGCCATGAAGACGCCTATCAACAATGTCTGGGAGCGGCCCATGCCGATCAAGCGCGCGGTCAACAATGTCCGACGCTGGTATGCCGAGACGATGACGAGGATACTTCCTCCACTACCGATCGAAGAGTGGGATAACATACATGCCATGATTGTTGGCGACCGAAAGATCAATCTGGTCCGACGGAGAGGCCGCGCTTCAGTATTGAGTGCTAAGCCATTCATAGAAGACGACTTCTTCGCCCACACAGTAGAAGCAGGCATTGCCTTAGACAAGCCCAGCAGGGCAGACATGCCTGCAGGTGTGCAGCGACCGCATACCATCAATCCTAGGTTCATGAAACGCATGTATACAAAGCTTCTCATGCTCTGCTGCAAGGTCGAGTATGACGACGAGCAGAAACGATGGAAAACAATCTGGGGCGAACCTATGAAGTACATTAAACCCAGCCTCTACAACGTCCCTACAGATGAAACGCTCTTTGCGGGTGTTGACGCTACAGGCAAGATCCCGAAGACGCCCAAGAAGCATCTGCTCGAGAAATCACAGCATGTCCAGCCACGGAATGCCGAGGGCGAATACATGCGGTTTCCCTTCTTTGCCGAACGGCTTCCAGAGGAGCACCCAATACGCAGGGAATTAGATGAATGGAAGAGGAAACGTGCTGCTGCGAGAGGACAAAAGCGGGAAGTGTCGTAGCCTGGAGGCGGGGCACTAAGTACATACCCCACAAACTTGGAACGCGATTTGTAGGGCGCGTCTTACATGTACATAAAGTAGGCAGCACTCAGCAACCTACTTTGACCGTCACAGTGCATTGAGCAACGTTTTGACAAACACAATGGCATCTTCAAGCGCAACAATTCGCCACGCGACCCGTGAAGGTAGAGTATCCCCAGCCTACAGTAGAAGCCTACTAACAGCCTGTGCAGATGTTCCTACCATCCTAGCCCTTATCAAGGAGCTTGCGCTCTACGAAAACGCCAGTGACAAGGTTGACTCAACTGAAGAAATCCTCACGCGCACCCTCGCACACTACAATCCCTCCACATCGACCTTCTCCGAAGGCTTCGCCCGTGCACTCCTCCTCAGCGATCCCGACGGCACAGTCGCAGGCATGGCTCTATACTTCTACAACTACAGCACATGGACAGGCGTGCCCGGCATCTACTTGGAAGACTTGTTCGTCAAGGAGAGCTACAGGAAGAAGGGCTATGGCAAGAGACTCCTTAAGGAGCTCGCTGGAGAGGTGCTCAAGGTCGGAGGCAGGAGGCTCGAATGGAGCTGCCTGGACTGGAATGAGCCCAGTCTGAAGTTCTACGAGAGCGAGATCATAGGAGCGCAGAGGAAGACGGCATGGGTAGGCTTGCGTGTGGATGGAGACGCATTGGAGAAGCTTGCGAAGTCATAATCTTGAGAGACAAGAACCTATCTGATGATTGCTGAGACTTGGCTCATTCTTGTTTGCTCCTGTTTGCTTGAGGAACAGCCACGTGAGCACGCGTAACCAGGTCCGTGCGCTACAATCGTCATAACGTCTTACAACAACGACTGCACATGTACTCTTTACCCCTCAGGCCTCAGTCAACTCAAGTTACAGCTCCCTATACTTTGTAGCTCGCAACACCACCATGGCCAGCCCGCCATTCATGGTCGAATCGGCTGAGATCGAAAGCTGTTGGGAGCAGCTGCGCAAGTGAGTTATTATGAATGTAACGCAGTCTGGCAGCAGTACTAACACATCACAGGCTACTAAAGCACGAGTACGAACAGACTGCGCTCAACGAGATCCAACAGTCTGTCAACCTACATGAAGGCCTTGAGGATATCCTTCACCTCACCATCGACGCAGATGGTTCCCCGATACCCACTATTGATAGTATCAAATCGAATTTGGGAGTTGCGCGGGATGTCAGCAAGGAAATCAAGGAAGCTACAAAAGCCTACAATGTCGCTGTATGCCGTACTATCGGACCTGCCGTGTACGGAAGATTACCCCGAGAACTCCGCGATATGATCTACGGGTATTTGACTACGCGTCTAACGTATATCTGCTTCGAAGATGTAAAATTTGTCTTGGACAATGCCGATACGTATTCTATCTGCCCAGAGTGCTACTGGCGACCCGATGTCATCGGTTCTGAAGTAGCTCATGAGCTCAGAGAATCTTGGTACCGGGACACGACGTTCTACGTCGAGCGCGATCAGTCCACCGAGTACCTGGTCAACAAAGACTATTTCAACGCAGGTCTGCAACCCCGCGAACTCATCACCAACCTCATACGCCGAATCTGGATCGAGGAAAGAGAGACAGAAGCAGCAAACGCGCAGATCCTGCGATATCTCGACGAGCTGTTCCTGTTGAGGACAGTTACACATTTATGTGTTGATTTGAACATGTCTAACCTCAGGCTCATTGACAAGGGTAGGATGTTCAGGGGAATTCTGCAGCTTATACGTCCGACGATTCTACGTCTGCGAAGATCAGGTTATCAGTGTAAAATCACAACAAGCGACGACCGATTTGGGGAAGGCATGTTTCTTGGTACTATCAAGCAGTGGGAGGACGAGCTTGAAAGGGAGATCGAGAGGGGCGATAGTACTGCGCGAAGCGGTGTCTAGGCGGAAGGGAGAGGACCTGCCGTAACAGGAAGAAGGAAAGGTATATCCCCAATTGCGTTCTCGAGTTTTCTGGGCTCAACCAGAATATACCGAGGAGCGTAGGAGTGCCCATCGGTTAAAGATTGCGATAACGTAGTGGACAACCATGACTCATGGGTGACAACCAGTATTATGCTTGGTTTAAACTTGGAGGTTGAATTTTAATACCACAATAGTGGCCCCATCACGTCTGCTCTCGAGTTCATCGATATCTAAGAAGATACACTTTCCATCTCGCTATTCCCTCTACTATGCTCAGCTGCGATTCGAACAACATGAGTCCAGCTTACGTCTACCTCTACGCCCCTCTCGTCAACAATCGCCGGCGGCAAACTCCCTCATAAAAAAACATCGACTGTCTAACTTTCTGCCTTCGGTTTTCGGAATCCAGCGCTGGCCGGCCCGAGATGAATGGAGGTTTCGGGGGGCTCGGAAGTCTTGGGCCGTAGAAGGACCGACCCGTCAGTATCGATCAAGATGAGTACGCGTGGATCATGACGGCAACTCTAACGATCACCAGTGTGCGAATGTAGTTTCGCAAGATGGAATCTGGTGGGCTGGCGATACACAGCACATCTCTCCAAATAGGAAGATGTGGGAGTGAATGAAGTAAAAGTAAGCGCTAATTTCAACATGACGGACACATCGTCCGTGAGAAGAGTCTTCATTCTACGACCATATTCACGAGATACCATAGCAAAAGTAGCGGCCACTACCCATTCATAACAACAAGTTACAAGGTAGGGGGTATCTTTACCTAGAGTGTTCGCCATAATACCCAATCTACGAGTTTCCTCGTGGTAGCCAGCCGGACTTTGCACCGCACCATCGCACGACATGCGGTTGATTAGTTTAAGACTTTCCCATTCGAGCCGATGACAAAGAAAGAGGCGGCTTAGAGGGCATGTCAGGTTCCACAAAATTCAGCCACGAGCTGAAAACTCCAAAAACCACAAGGATTGGGGTCACACACTCCGCTTCGGAAACATCACCGGTCCGAAGCCGATCAATTGTAGATTAACGGGGAACTTACTTACCTTTCTTAGGCATAGCAAGTCGAATGGAACATAGAAGCCTCACTACTGAATCGAGTCAGCTATGCTGACCACTTACTTGATTGCGCTGTCCTTGCGAATAACCTATTTCGGACAGGTAGGACCTTGTGTGCTAGCAAGGTAACACACGGCTGAGCATGTACTGACAGTCAGAAGGTAACGGCCCTTCTGGTCGGATTCGGACGCTGACATACTTCCACGGCTGGAATTCAGGCCTCATGGATAGGTTCAAGAATACCTGCACGCGTAGACATGGGGTAGTCAGTATATATGAGGAAGCTGCTCATCGATGTTAAGACACCACCAACGAACATCTCAGCTTCCAAATCTCCACCACAATCGTTACCGCCAGTATGCATTCTCAGTTCACTTCTCCCCGGATCGGGAAGAGTGCCATGCTCCTCCTGCTCTCCTCCTACCTTTCGAGCTACGCATTTGCGACGGCAGTTCCCGAATCCGTCGATGTTGCCGTGATAGGCGCAGGACTTTCCGGTTTGACAGCAGCGCGAGACCTTCTCCACGGCGGCAAATCCGTTATCGTGCTCGAAGCTAGAGACCGCGTCGGCGGTAAAGTCTACAACCACCCACTGAAGAACGGGGGCGTCACGGAAGTGGGCGCCGAGTTCGTCGGCCCAACGCAAGACAAAGTACTGGAGATGATTTCCGACTTGGGACTACAGACATTCGATACGTACAGCGAGGGGAAATCCATCTTGTGGAGGAACGGCACTCGAACGGCTTACACTCCTGATCCGGCACTTGGAGGTTCACCGCCAGTGGACATGGCGTCTCTTCCTCTGGTTGCCAGTGCGCAGAAGCAACTGGACGACTGGGCAGCTGAAGTCAACACGAGTGCACCATGGACGCACCCTAAAGCTAAGGAGCTTGACAGCATGACGTTCCAGCAGTACATCGATCAGGCAGCACCCCACGCGGACGCCGCCCTTGTCTTGACCACAGCCAGCAAGGCCATCTGGGCTGCGGAGCCACGGGAACTCTCTGTGCTCTACGTCGTCGCATACATCGCAGCAGGAGGAAACGAGACAAACGTCGGAACACTGGCTCGACTGATTGGCATCCAAGGCGGAGCTCAAGAGAAGCGAGTCGTAGGCGGAACTGGTCTCATCCCAGAGCGACTCGCCGAGAAGGTCGGACACGAACACATCGTCATGAACGCCGCCGTATCAACCGTCATCAAGACATCCAACGGCTACAAAGTAGTATCCCGAGCAGGCACTGTCCACGCAAAGCAAGTCATCCTCGCCATGGCACCTCCCCTCCTCCGTCAAATAACCTTCTCACCCGCCCTCCCCACCACCCGCCAACAGCTCAACCAAGCAATGAAGATGCCGTCCATCGGCAAAGGCATCCCCATCTACAACACCCCCTTCTGGCGCAAGACCGAAGGCCTAAACGCCCAAGTCATCTCCGACAACGGATCCACACGCGTAACCTTCGACTCCACACCCGAAGACAGCAAATTCGGCGCCCTCCTCGGCTTCCTCCTCGGCGACGAAATGCGCGCGCTCGACGCCCTCAGCCCCGCTGAGTGCGAAGAGAAGATCCTGTCAGACTACGTGCGGTATTTCGGCGAGGAAGCAAAGACCAACACGGAGTTTGTGTTGCAGCGCTGGGACTTGGAGGAGTGGTCCAGAGGAGGTCCTGTGGCGGTTGCTCCGCCTAATGTGCTCACAAAGTATGGTCAGGCGCTGACGATGAGGGCCGAGGGGTTGCATTTTGCGGGCACGGAGACGAGTCCGTATTGGACTGGGTATATGGACGGAGCTATCCGGAGTGGAGAGAGGGTTGCTAAGGAGATTATGGGAATGGGGTACTGAGGCTTGTGAGGATTGGGGTAGTAGTCATGGTGATGAAAGTGGTAGTGGAGGGGTTACATCGTGATCTTGCCGTTCAAACTTGTAATTAGAAAACCCTACCTCTGTCCCCGGACATCTTTAGCAAAGCAAATGGGATACTCCTTCCAGCAAGACGGGGTCGTGTCACATTTTGGGTCACCGCAAAGCAGGAGTCTAGGTTCTAGTTCCCAGCGCCATATCCGGGGAAGGTGTTCGTGATCGACAGGCCCGCGCCGAATATACTTTCAGTAGCTGGGTTGCTAACCTGCGAATTGCTTACTTTGACGCCAGATCGACATGTCACAGTGAGCCTCGGCTCCACCGTACATCATGAGGTTTGTGTATAATAGGAAGCTGTAGGATGCGGGATTTGCTTTTTTATCATCCCAGCGTCCTTCTGACTCGTGTCTTGCTCTTACCATCTCATACCCGCTTCAGATCATTGATTCGATCGCAAGATACTCTCCGACATCATGCACTTTTCACTTCCCCTCTTTCTCCTCCCCGCCATTGCGTTCTGCGCGCCTGTTGCGGAAATCTTGCCTACGGCACAGGATGTGATTCAGTCAGTGGTCAACATCCATAGCGCTGTTCTCGAACTTGATCAGAAAGTGCAAGCTTTTCAGGGTGGTTCTTTCGAGACCGCCTTTGTCGAAGGCAAAGAAGTGCTCGCGGGCGTAGCGAAGATCCACGAAGTAAACCGCGAAGGGTTCCGACGAGCAACCCTGGCTCTACCGCCATTCTCCATCAAGGATACTACCGATCTGATCAACACCGTCGTAGCAACTGGTAGGTCATCATCACGGCCCTTCCTGCACAGACAGAATGCTAACACTCACCGTGAGCAGTCAACGTCAGCATCCCGAACGCGACCAAGCACCTCCAAGAGAAAGAACCCGTGTTCAAGGCGAACGGCTTCTCAGCCGTCGTTATCGCCAGTCTGGCGCTGTTGGAATTCGACCACGACACGTTCAGCGCGGCAGCAGCGAAGAACTTCAACCTTGCTACTCCGAAGCCGAAGTTGGACGAGGGCATCGCGGCGGCAGCGAACATCCACAAGGTTATCCAGGATACTATTGTGTTCTACACTGTAAACGCGGTCGTGTAGAAGGGAGGATTGTATCTCAGGTGGTGTACAGCGGTGTAATGTCCGTTCATGATAGGTGCCACGCATGCGCATTCCGTCGGAAGTCGCGTCCGTATCAATACAAACACGTGCCCCATGTATCCGCCTGCATCTGCACATGCACATGCGGAAAAGAGTAAACATGCCACCGATGACGTATCAGAATGATCGCCCACCAACCTTGTTTCTCCTCCACAGTCTAGATGCCGCTAGCTCTCCCGTAGCGCTCCATGCCATCATCCATTGTCAGCCTCAGCCCCAACTTTTCGGGCTCTGTGATCTCCAGACTTCCCTGTTGCACATCACCCCTCTTGTTGTTCCTGCCGAAGTAACAACAACTCCACGTTACACTCGCTACACGACAACCCCCCAGCGAAATTCCTCACGATGGGTATCTGCGGCAGCAAAGAGAAAGCGGGCGAGTCAACCGAAATGGCGCGACCCTCACAGTCCCAAAACGCAGCCTCAATCGCGCAAACCCAGCAAAACATCCCCGTCGCCAATGAAGGTCCCACCGTAAAACCCCGCCGCTCCCCCGACAACCCTATTGTCTACTTCGACATTGCAATCGGCGGCAAGCCAGCCGGCCGCGTCCAGATGGAATTGTTCCTCGATGTGGTCCCTGCGACATCAGAGAACTTCCGCCAATTCTGCACGGGCGAGGCGAAGCGCGGCGGCGGGTACAAGGGCAGTACTTTCCACCGCGTTATTCCCAACTTTATGATTCAGGGAGGCGATTTCATGAATGGGGATGGTACGGGGAGTGCGAGTATCTTTGGGGGCGACTCGTTTGATGATGAGAACTTTGAGTTGAGGCATACGCATCCGGGGCTGTTGAGTATGGCGAACTCTGGGTACGTTGAACTCTTGTGTGGGATGGCAGGTGACATTTTTGCTAATTGTGGAATAGGCCCAACACCAACGGTTCTCAGTTCTTCATTCTGACTGCTGCGACGCCGCATCTTGATCGCAAGCATGTCGTATTCGGCGAGGTGTTGGATGGTATGGATGTCATAAGGAAGATTGAGGCGACGAGGACTGGACCCGGTGATAAGCCGTTGAGCGATGTCGTTATCGCTGGATCTGGGCAGCTGTCAGGCGCAAAGCCATTGGCCTAGGAGGTGATGAACGCGTGGAGGTAATAAAAGCAGGTCGATTCGCGGTACACAGGTATCCATGTTTTGGAACCGTAATGATAATGTAATACATATACGCAAGACAGCGCAACTTTGGTCTGCCTCGAACCCTGCAATGCCTCAAATTGTTATTGTTGTTCGTTCTTATACTAATATAGACTGCAGCGCACCTGTTCAGTTCATTCCCTATACAACACACTCTTACTATTGTACCAGCTCGCCCAGCTCCGCCATCTGGATCCGCATAGCTTCCTCCTCCCAGAACTCCGCCAGCTGCTCAGCTCCCCTCCTACCACCCCACTGTCGCCCGCCTTGGTCCATATCGCCTTCGACTCCGTCCATGAGGCGCCGAAAGCAGCTCTTAAACTTGGGTTCGTTGAAGTGGTGGTAGGGGTGGTCCGGATTGAGCCATGCTGAACAGATATAGCAGAAATGTGTTTGGCACTGCGCGCAGGTCTGCAGAGACACGAAGTCAGTATGTGCGCCATAAGCATCTTATGAGGGTCGGAACTTACCATATGGTTGCAGCCGTAACCTTTCTGGCAGGGTACAGAGCAGTATGGGCATGGTGTCGTATTCTTCATGATAAAGTTGAGCGATGCTTGGTCGTCCTCGGTGAGCTCTGTGACATTGCGTGGCTCGCAGCGTACGAAGTCTCCGTGCCACGATGCTAGGCAGATGACACAAAAGGCAAGGGTGCAATCTTCACAGACCTGCAACCGCTCCATACCTCGTACCCCGACTCCACGCTTTTCCGGGCCGCTTTCGGTCTGGGTCTCCTGTGGTTGAGCTGGGCCCTCATCGTCTGCTTCAGAATCTGAATCGTCCATCTGCGTTACGTCCGTAATCTTAGGGTATTTATCAGACCGCATAGCGCCTTGACACCATTTGCGCGGACAATATACGATGTTCGGGTCGGATTCGATCTTCTTCTTCCGCTTTATCTTCGCGTATCGCTCGACCTGGTCGCGGGATATAGGGATTTGTAACAGCTCCTTGGGTGACAGTAGCCGGTCCTTCTTCTTCCCACTACTACCGCACTCCGTGGACATGCATTTGATATTGTTGACGTTTCCCTCTGTTATACAGCTGTCGTAGTATTCCTGGAGGCAGTTGATGCAGAAGACATGGCTACAGCGGGCCATGCGATAGCACGCGGATCCCTTCTTCGGCTCGAGACAGACTCCACAATCGAATGTGTCTTTGTCAAACAGTTCCTTCTTCATCCGCCGACTATAGTCAACCAGCTCCTTCTGCATGGACGAGGGTAGCGTGAGGTCTTCCAGGCCAAAGGCATTCTCGGCCTGTTCTTGGAGAGAGCTGATGTACGAGAAGAGTATGGAACCACCTCCGTACTCCTCCCAAAGTGTCTTCGCTTCGGTTGTCAGTCGGGCCTGTAGATCCTCGCGGATCCATGAAGGCGAAGTCGACAGTCGAATTACAGGCGGTAGATGTTCGGGATATTCGGCAGGCAGTATAATTTCGAGGCGCAGCGGAGGGAGGTATGGGAGTCGTTCGACATCTTGCTGTGGCTCAAAGGTGATAGGTAGAGGCTTGGCGGGTGCGACGAGCAGTTCGAGAGTGGCCGAGTACGGATCGCTATCGTTGATGACCAGCTCCGGGTAGATGGACTGCAGCGTGCTGAGCTCTTCGGCGCGCTCGTCTTCCAGGTTGAACTCGGTCATAGCGGCAGATGTTAGGAATGCCGCGTTTCTATCGGCGAGCGGGTTGTATATGAAAGTGGCGGCGGCGGAGAGAGGGCGGAGATAAGTCGAATGCGGTCGCAACAAAGTGTGAAAAGGGCGTGGCGACTCTCTTCTATCGATAGCGCATAAAGGCAAAAGCCCCCTTGAAGAGGCCCATTGTGAGTCAGGCGCTGGCTGCAATCACTGCGATTCCATAGAGGCTTTCAAGAGCCAGGCCGTTGCAGCAGATGCGAGCATGTATGCAGCACAATCCCATCACCGAGGCATCTCGCATGCCAAGGCCGGCAGGGTACCGCCGGGATTGCGCCGTCATGGACACGGCATGCGCACCCTTCACTCTTGACACGCTTCACCTCCCACGTGAAGTCGCTATGGAGGCCCCTCCGCTTGCGTCGCTTTCCTTGACGCATGTCCACTATGTTGGTCTCATCTACTGACAGCCAGAGCCGCTGCTAATCCACCCAGAATCCCGCCGACCGCGTCTCCTACCTCTGCGCATGGCTTGCGCTTGTGCCCCAGGGACTATGCGTCGTCTATGCGACGCTGATATGGTCAAATCGCGAGATTGAGATATTCCTCATGTTTGCTGGCCAAATGGCGTGTGAAGCTCTCAACTGGGTTCTGAAGAGATACATCAAGGAAGAGCGGCCGCGGGGTAATGTTGGCAAAGTATATCATGTGAATGTAGTACTGATAATTCTACAGAAATGCACGGAAAGGGCTACGGAATGCCCTCCTCGCATGCCCAGTTCGTCTCCTTCTTCTCCGTCACCCTAGGCCTGTTTCTCCTCTTTCGGCACGTCCCACACCCGACCGAAACCCACACCCCCTTCTCTTTCGGCGGCCGCGTCCTCCTTTCGCTTCTAGCAATGGTTTGCGCAGGAGCTGTAGCAGCAAGCAGAATATACTTGAGCTACCATACACCGAAGCAAGTTGTCGTTGGATGTGCTGCCGGAGCTCTCTTCGCTCTAGCTTGGTTTGGCTTCACAACCTTCCTGCGGAAGGCCGGTTGGATAAACTGGGCTCTCGAGACCTGGGTCTTGAGGACGTTGCGCGTGCGAGATCTCGTAGTACAAGAGGATCTCGTTGATTCTGGCTGGGCACGCTGGGAAGACCGAAGGAAACGGCAAATCTTCCAAGTCCAGGGTAAGAAAAGCAGGTGAGCTTCTGAAATCTCTGTATATATCACTACGGTACGAGGCTGTCATGCTCGTATCGGCTCGTCAATACTCAAATAGATGTGTAGCGCAACACAAAACAAGATTGGCGACTAGGCCGGCTTGCAAGCCTCTCGACATTTTTAGCTCCCGTGCGCCGTCGAGATCTTCAGAGCTTCTCTCCGCGGAGTCACTTTCGTTCGTTCAACATCTCAGCCTCCAGACAAGCATGTCCCTGGTACCAATCACAGATCATCGTCATGACATCTGTAACAGCCACCAACGTCAGGCTAGTCGTGGCTTCAGCCGTGTGCAACGGCATATTCTTGCTCTTCCAACCCTTCGAATCCTATCATTTCCCATGCTGCCTTAAGAAAAGATATCTCCAGTCAGCCGTGGCTGAAGTTCGCCATTCACAAGCGATGATCCCCACACTTAATGGTTCGGACTATATGTGGACCCTTGACGTGCATCTTCCGTCACAATCGTCATGCTTCCGCCATGCCGTTGACTATGACAAACCCGTCAACCCGAATGATTGACCGCTATGGTATAACGGCGGCCGTTAATTCCTTTTAGGTCGTCTTTTAGGTCAGGTCTCCCCAGCTTAGGCTTGTGTGTAGTATCTGTCGTCCCTCGTCATCATTTTGTATACTCTGTTCTGCAATTATTCTTGTCGATATACCCTTCCCCGGTTCTATCTACAGTAATCTCTAATCCGACTTCATCTCCCGACAATGCCTCGTATGAACACCTACCGCGAGCCCAAACCCCCACCGCACCGTTCCCGCAGCCACCAAAGAAGCCAAAGCCAAAGCGAAAACAGCAGTCCCCTCCCACGCAATGAATCGGACTACGACGTACCCGCCCCGGAACCGAAGAAACATCTCAGCAGTTTAGAAGGGCACCTCGTCGCAGCGAGTGGAGAGTTTGTTGGCACATTCATGTTTCTCTACTTTGCTTTTGCCGGTCAGCTCATGATCATCAACCAAGCAAGTGACCGGTCGATTCTGAATGGGTTTGCTAGCAGTCAGCAGAACATCTTCATTGCTTTGGTGTATGGCTTTAGTTTGCTGGTGAATGTTTGGGCGTTCTTTCGCATTAGCGGAGGGTTGTTCAATCCGGCGGTATGTACGCTCCTAGTATCCTCCAGGATACGCGTTAGCATGTCGAGCGATACTAACATATCTCCAGGTTACCGTCGGCATGGTAGTTGCCGGTCAACTTCCCTTCATACGATCCCTCTTTCTCGTTCCCGCTCAGCTACTCGCATGCATGTGCGCGGGTGGAATCGTCCAGGCCATGTTTCCTGGAGACATTAGCGCTGTCAATACCTCGCTCTCCCAGGACACTTCTATTGCACAGGGAGTGTTCATCGAAATGTTCATGACCGCCGAGCTCGTCTTTGTCGTACTCATGCTGGCTGCTGAGAAGAGCAAATCTACATTCCTAGCTCCGATTGGCATCGGATTGGCGCTGTTTGTAGCTATGATGGGCGGTACGTTACCCTTCACTTCCAAAAGGAGCAAAGTCCCAGTTCTTGACGCTGACGGTACATAGGTGTATACTTTACCGGCGGCTCACTCAATCCTGCGCGTAGCTTCGGTCCAGCTGTAGCTTCAGCGTCGTTCGTCGGATATCACTGGATCTACTGGGTTGGTCCATTACTCGGTGCGCTTCTTGCTTCGGCCTACTATCGCTTCGTTAAGCACTTCAATTATGAACAGGCGAACCCGGGACAGGACTCTTCGGGTGGTCACTTCTCTGCTTGAGCAACGTGGGAAGATAAACAAAAGAGACAGACACCAACGCCAAACAAGAGTTTGGATCATGCATTTGGCATACCACACTCTTTGGGCAGGGTGGAACGGTTAGTCTTCTGGGAATTTGAACAACATGGAGCATTTGAACATATAGCGTGGAGTTATGGGAGTGTTTCGTGGGTATCGGCCTACCATCATATATATCAGGGCAGGCGTTCTTACTTAGCGAAGCACTTGTTCACTTCTAAATCTCGGACCAGGTCAATCTTTCATATGATAAACTCGTCACAGAAACCAATGTCGAGTAGTGCACATATCTTCAACATGAAGGCCGCTGTATATCTACTTTTCACCTGGTTGAATATATTAATGAGACTTAGAGCTCTTTTCCAAAAGTTCGTGTACACCTAGGTAGGTATGGCGGTAGAAAATTTTAGTATTGAAGCGGTTGTATCTTGATGTCCCACCGTATTGCGTGACGGGGACCGCACAAGCCGCCACTACCGTATGAGACGATTACGTCAGTGTGGAAATTTCCCAAATGCTACGGCTCCGTGTGCGTGTGTATCATTGCGGGTAGTTATGGGCTGAGCGTGCCCAGGTGGAGCTGCAAGTGAGGATGCCGCATGGCATTTAGCGCAGTCGGCGGAGCGTCGACGGGGCGTCGCCGTGAATTACGGCCCTCGTCGGATGAGCCGGATCAGGTAAAGAGCGCCTCCAACCTGACATAGCGATTGGCTCAGCTGTAGACGTACCATTCGGCTTTAGCTCGCCATCTTTCATCAGTATGCAGCTCATCATAGCCCTTGATGAAGGTAACTATCATAGGGTCACTGCAGGTGAAGTAATGGATGCCAGAGTACAATCTCGCCTAGGTCTTCCAGCTCCCACTCGCGTATGTCCCTGTGGCTGCGACTATGGTGGCTCAATGAGCCGTGTCAGCGTGCGTCTATAACTTCATAGTCTTGTTACCAGAGCGATCTCAGTGAAATCTTTTCATGCACAGCCCTTGCTAATTCCGTTGTTGGGCATCGAAAGATGGTCCGTTTACAAAACTTGCTTGAGCGGTCTCCGAATCCATGGGTGTATCTGGAGTCAGATGCGCATGACGTTGTAGCAATCGTAGAACGGACTCGGAACATTGAGGTGGAACAGCGCACGTTCACCGATTCCGTGATTCATTTCTTAGGCCGTTGCAGTCGTGCATAAAAAACCCAAGACAGTCGACTTGACTGGTCGATCATTCTGATAACGTACTAGCGTAAGTGGGAGCAGCATGATGGCTTGCATGAAGCCGTGTCCCGGTGCCCAGGGACGTTTGCCTTCTTTTGCCTTGTTGCCTAGTAGGCGAACCACAGCAAGGGATTGATTAAAAGTCATGATCTCGAAGAAGTTTACAATCAAGAACGAAACAGACGAGAGACTGCATTGAACCACAGATTTCCGGCACCTCAGTCTGACTCCATCGTATTCAACTCTCTTCACAGTTCTATCTTGGACCCATCAAAACTACTGCGATACATTATCGTACTCTTTTCAAGATCTTCCATGTGTAGAACACATACCCCAAATCTCTCTTCGCATTCAATTTCACCAAAGATGGAACACGTTGACGGTACGTCAAACCATATTGCTACGCCCACAAGGAAGACGCATGTTGGACATCTGGATAGAATGCTGTTCGCAGTTTTATTCTTGATGCTAGTCATGCCTGCGACCGCGTTAGACGAACCCCAAGCTTTATCCCCGACCGCGGCCGCAGCCGCAGCCGCAGCCGGTTACCACTACAGCGCTCGGTATCCGATTGGCTTCTGCATCACCCTACTGCTTTTGATTGGACAATCATTCGCTTCCTTCTCGAGTACCCTAGTCGGACCGGCGATGGGTGTCACCAGCGTGTTGTGGCTCATGTTGCGCAACGACAGTGCCATCAGTCCCAAAACGTCTTGGATGTAAGTAATCCCTGCTTTATCAACTTCGTAGAATTCATGTCACCCCACACATGCTTACTAAACCCAGGGTGTTCGGGATATGGTCCTGGTTGACGGCGATGTACTTCCTCGTCCAATGCCAGCGGGTGTCAAACCATCGTTTGTGAGTAAATACCGTCACCTTATCGCATGCTCAGTCTGACCGTGCGAAGATACATTCTTGTGACGATCGCCATAGCCAGTGTTTGCATGAGCCTCATCGCAATGGCGCAAAAGTCGTCGCTGCAAAGTGGCCTAGTGACAGCGATACCGACTTGTACTTCCTTCGCCGCATACGTTGTAGCATATTGCTTCCCGGAGAAACGTGACCGAGAGCTAGACGAAAGGGATGCTATGGTATGACGCGGGATTTTAGTTGCAACCGTTGCTGGCTCTCATTACAAGAAAAGCTCAGAGGTGATGATGGTTGAGATGCAAGCGAGAGTAAAGGGTACGGAAGAGCCGCTATCACAGTGCGATGAGCCGAGTTGGAGATGGTTGCGGTAGTAAGGCTGCCGCAGGCCGAGCTCGAAAGCTAAATGGACCGCACCAGACGCAATAGCGGTCGGCGCAAAGAGCCGGGACAGCTACGCGTACATGCCTTATCTGACCTTGTCGTTTTAGCTGTGCTTGTCTCTGGCAAGTTGAGATACCGCTCTCTTAATCAAAGAAACAGTTCTTTCACTTGCCTCCTCTCCTTAGTTCATCATCGTTAGGCATCCGACAATTAGGCTGTCGACGGAGAGGAATCTCAGTGTACTTCGTATCAGTGAAGTAGCTCAAGTCAAACTGCGGTTCCAATCGCTGCTTCTCAGTAACCTTTGCAACCTTTTCCTCTGCATCTTTCGTACTGGTGTGTGCGCTCCGAAAGAGACGATCCGCATCGTCGCGTGCTGAAGAGGGCAGTGCAGATTTGCCAAGCCAGGATGTCCCACGGCCGCGCCAGCAGAGGACGGATCGGGCATTGCCTTGTCCAACAACTTCGAAGCCATCCTCAATTGTAGCGTCCCCGGTGGCATCGGGATGTTCCCGCCATATCTCAACGCCGTCGAAGATGTCTAGGTTCCGTGCGCGCTGCGCTACGCGAAGCGCTTGCTCCATGTCTGCGACCTCGAATAGGACGACTTTGGCTTCCACGTCTCTAGCAATCTGGAGCAGGCGCGGATAGAAGCGATCGCCTTGCTCTTTGTCTGTCTGCTTTATCCTCCGTGGAGGCACCAGTGCGAGCTTTGGCTCGAAACCACGTACTGAGCGCGTTGTCGTGTGCCAGAAGGCAGCTGGCGAGATGTACGGTGGATTTGAAATGAGAATGTCCCAGAAGGATGGTTGTCCTGCCCAATTGAGCGCAGCCGTCAGCGACAAGACGCCTTCAGTCTGATCATCAAAGGGATTGATCAAGACATCGGCCTGTATGAAGTCGACTTTCCCACTGTCTTGTAGCTGTCGCGTCTTGCGTAGCTTTTGGAGGTTGTATCTGGCGAGATCAAGGGCCTTGTCGGAGATGTCGACACCGAGAAGACGCAGGTCTACTTTGTTGGAGGCGGAGGACAATTCATGGTGGAAGAGGAGGGGTATGCAGCCGGTGCCGGTGCAGAGGTCGAGTACGCGTACCTCCGAGGGGAGTTCTTTCGCATGTCGTAGAAGACCGGCGAGATGTGTAATTGAAGCGGCTGTGTCTGCTCTGTTCGCGTCGTTAGCCATGAGCCGGAGAGAAGCCATAGTTCTACATACCTCGGGATTAAGACACCAGGTCTACAGCGTATTTCCAGGTCGCCAAAGTACTCTGTGCCCAGCAAATACTGCAATGGCTTCCCGGCGGCTCTATCCTTTACTAATTGTTGCAGTAGAGAAGCCTTGGCTATCGTGTCTCCTTTGGCGCGACGCGCTTTCGCGACTTTGTCGACATGTTCGCGGAGCCATCGCAGCTCGTTCTGGGCAGCCTGCAGTTCGCGACAGGGCCCAAGGAGAGCAGGCAGGTAGGGATCGATTGCGCGCGCCTTGCGGATGAGCGACGTTGGTATCCGTGGCATGTTGAAGGTGACGCGGTGGGGTGGAGTTGCGGTCGCCTCACTAGCGTCGACTTCATCTCGTCTGGCTGCTGCGACATTGCGGCGTTTTGTCCAAAACTTCGGTAGGGGAAGGGCATATGCTGACGTTGCCGCCCACGATAACAACGGATGTCTACAAGTTCATCACGATACGCCAAACCCATGTTGGTGCCTATTGGTAGAAAGTATAGTATATCCGCAGCACGTGCTCAGTAAACCTTAGGACACGCGGGCGGCTCCTGCCTCATTACTTTTTCGGCAGCCTGCAGGCCTTCCCTTACACCCGACTCAGCCTCTCGGTTTCCATCGTGAATACATCTACATCCAGATCAACACTTGGAGCAGTGCATGGCATCCAACATGCCGTGTAGCTAAGCTTTAATTTCCCCGCGCGACGCCCGTTCTGACCCACCATCCCCAACATCACGCCCGTACCCCATACTTTCCGAGCTCACATTTATCCAATTGCTCTGCATAGCGCGCATTACTAAATCAGAAGTATCCACCTGCGTAACGGTGCTGTGATACCGAATCTCATCATGGACAGTCGTGGTCTCTTGGCCCAGCCACACGCGGATGAATATTTCCAGCCCTGGGGGACTCCCAAACTACACATGGCTATGTGCTGAACAATCCACCACTACAGTACACTCTCCAACGCTTTGAGTGTACCTGAGAGCATACCCACATATGACCAGCAATCTACCACAAGTTACACCCGCCATGCACACTCCCAGGCACAGAGACACTCCAGTCCACACAACACCTTCCCCACATCCCTCCAAGCGCAAAGTGCCAAGTCTCCTCCGCCATTGGTCCTACAAGAGCGGAGAGAGCATCTGACTTGTGGGGTCAAGCAACCGCATGCGTCTCTGCATAGAAAACTTGGCAATAACCTTGACTCGGCAGATGGGTAAAGTCGCTGTGGTTGGCACTGCATCCGACCCAGTCTGGGCAAGATGATCTTCAAAGTATAAGGTATGATTCCTGG